AACAGGATTAGTGGATGATCACCGAGAAGGGGGGGAAGAGTGCAGGATGGAGGATGTCGCAGATCAAGATCGGGGCTGGGGGCTGGGAGGTGGAATTGGGGGGATCGAGATGAGGAGCCGAGTCCCAAGTCCGGGGAATGGTGGATAGACACAGAGCAGGGGGGGGCAAGTCAGGAGAGGTGAGTAGTGACAGGATCGCGATCGGGATGAGGGTGAGGGGAAAAGGTAAGTAGTGATGGGATCGCAATCGGTATGGGGGGAAAAGTGACGGGTAGAGATCGGGATCAAGGGCGGGGCCGGGGGAGATGCGAAATAGCGGGTTGCTGGCCGGGTGGAGATCGGGATCGGGGGCGGAGGGGCGGGGATTGAGGGTGGGAGTCGGGATCCCAATTCGAGGGGAAGATACAAGTTAGGGGAATGGTGGAGTAGAGCAGGGAGGGGGTAGCGATAGGATCGCTATTGGGATGGGGGCGGGGCCAGGGAGAGAAAGGCAGGGGGGATCGGGATCGGGGGTGGACGCAGAGCGGGGGGGGGAAGTGACAGGATCGCGATCGGGATGGGGGCAGGGCTGGGGTGAGAGAGGCTGGGATGAGAGCGGCGGGGGATGCGGAATGGCTGGGTGCTGGTCGGGTAGAGGCCGGGGTCGGGGGCGGCTGTTGAGAGTGAGGGTTGAAGACGAGGTAAAGGTCGAGAGGAAAATCGATCAGGGTCGTGGGGGATTCTAGGGTGGAGATCGGAGTCGGGGGCGAAAGATTGAGGGCGGGGATGCGGAATGGCGGGGTGCTGGTCGGGCAGAGGTCAGGATCGGTGGCGACGATTGGGAGCGAAGGTTGAAGACGAGGGAAAGGTCGAGAGGAAAATCGATCAGGGTTGTGAGGGATTGTAGGGTGGAGATAGGAATCGGGGGCGAAGAATTGAGGGCAGGGGAGTAGCGAAGTAGCAGGGAAGTAGCGGGAAAGGAGGATTGAAGGGAGGGTACGAGTCAGGGGAGGGCTTCGAGTCGGGGGGGCCTCGGAGTGGTTCTGGAGGGTGGAGATTGGGATCGGAGGCGAGAAAAGAGGGCGGGAAGGGTAGCGGGGTATGAAAGGGAGGGCCAGGTTCGATCAGGATCGGAAAAGGTTGGAGGATTAGAAGGCAGAGATCCGGATCGAGGGGAGGGGGGGAGTCGAAGGAACGGACCCAAAGGGGGAGGAAGGAAGGGGGAGAGGGATGTCCTGGATCGGGATCGGGGGCGGGGTCAGGGTCGAGTGGTGAGAAGTGGTGAGAAGAGTAGGGGAAGTGGGGGGGCGGGCGTCGAGAAAGAGCAAGGGGGTCGAGTGGTGAGAAGTGGTGAGAAGTGGTGAGAAGTGGTGAGAAGAGTTAGGGAAGTGGGGGGGCGGGCGTCGAGAAAGAGCAAGGGCAGGGAAGATGAGCGTATCAGGACGGGCTGACGTGGAGAAGGAGAGAGGGTGGGGGGCTCGGGGGTGAAAAGGGAGGAGTACACAGGCAGGAAGGCTGGTGGCGCCGTGGCGGGAGAGGAGGGAGGACCGGGGGGAGGGGTTGGTACATACCTCTGGGTTCTTTCTCTTCCCTCACCGGGGAGTCCCCAGGTCCCCAAAGGTTAGAGAAAAGAAAGCCAGAGTCTTCTCGTCACGTTGACCCTCCTGGCCGTCTCACAAAAAGTCGCCCTTCTCACAGATGCCTGTAGTACACCATTTCGTTTTTTCSGCCGGTCGGAGACATCCTGAAGACCATGATGATCCCGGGCCCTGCTTATTGCATCTCACCTTGTTGTCAGGATAGACTCAAAGTCGCCCTTCTCACAGATGCCTGTAGTACACCATTTCGTTTTTTCCGCCGGTCGGAGACATCCTGAAGACCATGATGATCCCGGGCCCTCCTTATTGCATCTCATCTTGTTGTCAGGATAGACTCACCACCACTCGTATCTTCGCCCATTCAGAAGCCGCCTCATTTTTACCCGCAACTCTCGTCACTTGCTCTTCCAGCAGCAGCTAGGGTGACCATCGGTCCTCCCTATTTTCACCCTTGTGCCCGACTTCATCGCAGTTTTCTTCCTCAATCTCCGTCCTCCCTAATTTCCCCCTCCATTCCCCTCACCCAGGTCAGCCTCCCTTTGTCGTCCAGCGGCTCCATCCCCTGTCATTTGTCCGTTCCTTCCTCAGTTGTTTACCATTAATCTTTCTCTATGCAGGCGCTAGTGCAAAAGTCTGAATGGACTGGACACCCTGCTGCCACTGCTGGTATCAATGTGCAACGCTGGGATTGAGTTTTGAACCCGCAACCTTATATACCACAAAGCACATTTCGAACCAGTGTTCTGACCACTGAGCTACATCAACTGGTAGGCGGTATGATCTGAAATTTAGAGAGAAGAATTTCGCTTACTTTTAAATTTTGGCCAGGCTAAAGGCGGTTGAAGACAAAACCTGCCTGCCATCCTCCTGTCAGAGTGCACGATGAACCTACCATGTGTGTCCTTCCTGTGCGCCTGGGTGTGCTATTTGTTTGTGTGCGTGTGAAATTATCGGTCACAAGCCAGCCGGGATGTGTGCCATTGCCATTTACTGGCTGGCTACTATTTTCAGCGCCCTTTGTGCAAGTTTGTGGCCTATGGCATTCCAGCGCCCTCCGCGTCAACTGTCTTCGACTCCCCTCTTACGGTGACTTCTCATCAAGTACGGTAACTGTAATCTTCTTCTCTTTGGGTGCACCCGGCGTCGCGGTCAGCGGTCATCATGTCATCATGTCTTTCTACGCACAGATTCATTTCTTTTTACGTTCTGATTTTTTTTTTTTTTTTTTTTTTTTTTTTTTTTTTTCCAAACATCTCTCATGTAGCTGCCACCGGCGGCCCCAACCCTGTACCCTAAACGCTAGGGGGATGGGGCAAACATGCCCTTACCCCTCTCCAACGACCGAGAGCCCGAAGAGAGGTAGAAAGCTATGCTAGCAGGGGGTCCCCTGTATAGCCTTTGGAGTAGTGGTAGGAAACAACAAACAGCAATATCTGTGGGCTAGGTCCCACTCACACGAATTAAGCGATATTGACCGTGGACAGCACAGATCAACGGCCAGAATCTCTTAATCCGTGCAAGTGGGACCTTGCCCTGTGTTACAAGATGTATCAATGGGACGCTGAACCCGGTTTCCAGCAGGTGCCGCTCCCCACCAATAGATGGAGCAGCCCGACAGATAAGGCCTCAATTCTGAGGGCTCTCTTACCACCGCCAGGATAGAGGGATATCGCAAGGGCTATTTCCCCCCCCCAAAAAAAAAAGTAGTAGTGGTAGGTAGGTAGTGAAAGGGAAAGGATATGCTCCATGATGACAAGGCGGAACGCCAGTTTTAAAAAAAAATATTTGAGGATAAGGCCGTTTTTTATAAGCCAAAAAAAGAAAAAAAGGAAAAAAAAAACAGATACAATCGACCACCTCCACCCAAGGGAGACTCATCGATCTGAATTTCATCAAATTATGATTTAATTATCTCCTTCCGTGGCACCTTTGTCAACTGTATATTTAATTTATTGTACTTTGACTGGATTCACTGGAACTGCGAATTTGCACTGTTCAGTGTTCCTGGACATTGTTCTCGATTTGCATGTTGTACTCTCTGACTCTGAGTTGAATCTTGCGAGAGGTTCTTTGCAAGAAAAAGACAGAAAAAAAAGGAGAAAACAAAAAAAAGAGGGGAGAGAGAGAGAGAGAGAGAGAGAGAGAGAGTCGCCAGCACCACCGCCTCTACTGAGCACGTGTCCCGCTGCGAGCCATTGCTCTCACTACGACACCTCCTTTGTCTCCTGAAGCCACCCGGGTTCAAGTCCCACCCAGTTTCTGTGTCGCTGCCCGTCAATCTTCGTAATGGACGGTCAGGGACGACGTATCCTCAACACGATTCACGGTGGATGAGCAGCTTCGGCGCCCAGTGACGGCAGGCTCGGCCGCTACCGCCGAGTCGCCGACCAGTAGAGCATGGCTGCTGCTCGTAGATCCGAGCGCGGTGGTAAGATCCGACGTACCCGTCGGGCCTCGGCACACCACTGTCGACGTCTGTCGTAACGAAAAAAAAACGAATGCATCTACTTCGCAGAGGGGTAAGATGCATGCATAGCTATTCGTAGTAGTAAAGGACGAATTTTGCCATGATCTATACGTTAACCAGAAAATGGAAATGAAGATTGCGGCCTAATGGGGCCTTGCACCGTTGCACGAGCAGGGGTGCTCGGATTTTTTGCACGAGCAGGCGTGCATGGTGCACCGCATGCAGCTCGTGGAGTCCGATCCGAGCACGGCTGCAACTTGCGACAGCAGGGGGAGCAAGCAAGTCCCAAACAAACCTACCCCGATCCTTCGTTTCTGGCCGTTGATCTTCGGAATCGACGGAACGGGTCCCAGAAATGATCAAACACTCGGGTAAATGGCACACTGCCCGGGCTGCCCGGGCTGCCCGTGCAATCTCCCGGCCCGCCAAGGGCGTGTTACTGGCTCTGTACATCGGTCATCTGCGATTCGGCCACGGCAAGCAAGCAAGCAAGCACGCAGGCGTGCGATCCACAGCAGCCGATAGTCTGACTGATGAGGATGCCCCTTTGGGATTACCAACAAGTGTGCGCAACTTCAGCTTCAGCGCAAGTGCACGCTAACGATTTTGGTGACTGTTCCGTGGGCCCGGCGTAGAGCTCACCCCTATATACTATATATATATGTACGTCCTCCAGTTTTCGTCAACAGGTAGTCTATTGTGGTGCGTTGTATTGGAGCCCTCCGGCATCGCACCTCTTAGCAGCGCTATTACTGCTGATCGAGTTTGTGGACGGAGAGCGTGCAGTTTCTGCTGCGCATGGTTCGTACGGAGAGGACAACTGACAGCAGCGGACCGGACTCGGAGTGTTGTCTGGAGCGATCTCGCCGTGCATGACAGTGAACTGAGTGAAGTGCACCAGCGACGGAGAGGGAGGACCGGCTACTGAGCGAGCGTGTTATTCTGTTGGCGACTCGGCGATAGGCTGACTCAGAGGCTGAAGATGGGTGACTTTGCCGCCAACGCCAACCTCCAGCCGAAGGACAAAAAGCCCAACGAGAAGGAGCAGCCAGACAGCTGTCCGAGGCGGCAGCTGCAGGCAACTGCAGCGGCAGCTGCTAAGGCCGTGCATGTCGATGGTTCCGAGGCTGATCATGATCAGGGAGGTCCTCCTCCTCCACATGATGGAGGAGGTCACCTCCTCGGTGTCGAAGAGGACAACGGCTCGAAGCCGGACAGCTGCAAACGGGAGAAGGTTTCGACGAGCGAAAGCGGGCCAGCAGCTGCGGGAGACGCAAAAGGAACCGGAGGGATCCGTCTTGACTCCGTCGGAGCTAGTACGGGAAGCAGCACAGCATCCTCAGCAGATCGTAATGCCAACTATCGAGATGAGCAAGTGTCGTCCTCCTCCTCTTCGAGCGGAGCTCGTGGGGCCTGCCCACCTCCCGCCGGAAGGCCGTCTGCTGTCGTCGAAACAGGTGGTGTTACTGCCGATCACAAAATCGTAGGTGATGTGTCTCCTCATGTGGAGACAGGTCCTGTTTACCCGGACATAAGCGGGCTGAACATCGGGGCCGTTTCATCACCGATTGCATCCTCGGGGCAAGCTCGAGCGCCAGCTGCTGGCCAGCTGGGGGTAAAGGTGGGAGGAAGCAAGGAAGAGGAGGAGGTACTGGTCGTACTAAGCAAAGGAGAGAAGGTGGTGGTCGTCGACAACATGGAGAAGCTTGGCCGCTTGCTCACAGCGTTGAAATCTCTGCGTCCGGCCGTCCGACGTATCTATCTCGATTTCGAAGGGATCGATCTATGCAGAGACGGAAGGATTTGCATTGGACAGCTCACCTTTCCCAATACCGAGGGGCGAGTGTACCTTCTGGACTTCGTCGCCATGCCCGACATCCTCTCGACTCTTCCATCTCCTAGCAGCAGCGCTGAGAAGTCCGATCTTCCGACTCCGCTCTCTGCGAAGAGAGCTGATGACAAGGCAATTGAAGCAGATAGCTTCACACTGAAGAGCGTGCTGAGGTCGGCAGACTTCGTCAAGTTTTTCTTCGACCCGCGCAACGACGTGGACGCAATGTATCACCAGTGCGGTGGGATCATGCCAGTCAACGTGGTCTGTCTGCAACTCTGCGACGTGGCCAAGGACAGGCAGTGTGGGCGGATGAGATCGAAAGTGAACGGGCTAGCGCGGGCGCTAAGTGACGTTCTCTCGTTTTCTGACCGGCAAAGGTTGACAAATGCGAAGAACAAGGGGAAGAAACTGTTTGCCCCGGAGTGCGGAGGGACGTATGAGGTCTTCGCGAGGCGACCGCTGCATCCTGGCATAATCGAGTATGCAGCCACGGACGTGCTGTTTATGCCGAACCTCGAAAAGGACTTCTGGACGCCCCTTTCCGATCATTGGAAAGCTTGGGTAAAGCGGGAGAGCGAGAAAAGAGTCAACATGTGTTTGAGACCATCGCACTGGGGCCATGGCCGTCATAACGCCATTGCCCCCAACTAGCTGCCACCGATACTCTCTCTCTCTCTCTCTCTCTCTCTCTCTCTCTCTCTCTCTCTCTCTGTGTGTGTGTGTGTGTGTGTGTGTGTGTGTGTGCGGAAATGCACGTAACTTTGTTTTGTCTGATTAGCATTTGCCGAGCATGGGGGAGTGGATGGTCACGAGTTGCTTGCGCTCCTCCAAGTAGCTGTGGCTCTACTTTCCGTTTTTGAACATTCCTGGTAGATTTTCTGAATCCAAGGCTGGCTGGTGCTCGAGAACTTCCAGCCATCCGTCTCTCAGTAAGGCATGAGCAGTACAGCAGCCTGTTCGCGTCGCCGAACGTTCTCTCTGTTGCCCTCAAGTCTGAGCAGTGAGCTCTCATAGTCATCTTTGCCAATCCAAGCACTTGCAAGTCTGATATCTCGGCTCTGACACGGCAAATCTGCCCTCTCAAGTCTCACCCCGCAACATCGTAGCTTGAAAAAAAAAAGAAAAAAAAAAGAAAGAAAGAAAAAAAAAAGAGAGATTCAAGCAAGGTTTATGGTCAAGCTCCTACTGGTTTATGCCTGTACCAGGTACTACTGTCTTCCCTCGAACACAACGCACGCTCATTTTGGCCGTATCTGGCCGTAAATATAGCTTGTATACATTCATTTTTAGGGTGCGTTATGTTCGGGGGAAAACGGCAGGTAGATACCGAACTGCTCCACGTAGCTGGAAAACAGGAAGCGTGGGCAAGTCGCAGACGGAGGCGGATTGTAGGAGGAATCGTAGACAGTCACAGGCTGGACTAACGTCCGCTCCGTCGATAAGAACCTGGTCACTTCCCGAGTCTACGTGCGCAATGCCATTACGAAGAACCTGGTCTAGGGAACTGCAACTACCTAGTAGAGTCTTGTTCCACAGTATCCACTGCATCGCTCAGGTCGTACTCACACTACCTAGCTGTACCTTAAATGTCTCTGACAGCATTTACGGCCGCTCCTGGATGTACCTGACCGCCGTTAACTCTATTTTAAATAAGGAGACAAGTCCTACTGCGAGTCTGAGAGTATGCCCTCAGATTGACTGAGTATGGAGGTCGAACGTCAACTCTCTTAAGTCTCTCAAGTTTCAATTCGCCGACCGCAGGTTAGTATAGCAGCCGGAGCCAATGCTGACGATCCTGTCCACGGACGGAGGTGGGTATTGCAAAGCGGTTATTGGGTGCTCGGCACCAGAGTACGAGATAAGGTGGTTGGGGGGGAGGGGGGGGGGGGGGGGGGGAGGAGGGAGCGGAAGAAAGGTAAGGTGGTGGTGGTGGTGGTGGTATGTTCCTCTGACGAGGCCGTGCTGCCAGCGGGCCGCGGGCGAAACAGGCAACCGAGGAGAGGGCCAGGAGGAGAAATGTTGTGGACTTCACAAGTTTATTGACTTGTCGTCCTCGAAGAGTAATATATGAAAAAGGTTGTGGAACGAGTCTGCGTGAGGAACTAGCCCTTTCAATTTCGCCGCCAGGCCTGAGGCCAATGGCCCAATGCTTTTTTTGTCTATGGCGTGCTGCCCCTGCTTTCATCTAGTATGTGCCTCATACGTTCGTTGACTTCTATCAGACGAGCCGAATAGCGCTTAGGGTTTATTGAAATTCGTTCGTTCTCGTGCTGAGTTGGAAGGACACGCTGATTTTTGTAATATCATCCGTAGTTTTTCTTCTTCTTCAAGTTTTGAAGCAACTACGGCAAGGTCTGGTTTTGAGTTAGAAAAGACAAAAAACAAATAAATTAATTAATTAATAAAAATAAATAGCACTTTGGCCATGATGGCGAGAGTTTGAAAAGTGCGTGTGAGTCGAATATTGCGGCAAACGTTTTTGATGTTTTGTTTTTTTGGCTTTTCGCTGCACAACACGGTCTTTCCCTGTAGTTATGACATCCGCGCTTATTACAAAAAGTTCGGCGCTCCTTTGATTTCTCTTTTTTTGGAACTCTGCGGGGGAAAAAAAAAAAAAAAAAAACCTCTGCGGGAGTCTGCGCCTTTTTTTTTTCCAGTGCGTGTTGGTTTTTAACTTTCTGCCGATTCGAAACTCGTGTTTGACTGAACCCTGTTTTGTTTTTGCTATGTGAGTGTTATTTTTTGCCGATCTGAAACTCGTTTTCGATTGAGGCGCACTTGCCGTTTTCTTTTCCTTCTCCTTTCGCCTACTACCGTTTTCCTTCTCTTTTTTCCTTCTCTTTCTTCGTTCTTATATTAAGTTATACTGTTAAGTATGCTCTTATGCGTGTCTGTCAAATAGTCTCCTCTTCTACGGTTCTACCCTTTTTTGCCAATCTTTTTCGACCATTCAGTGGCATTCACACCGACCGACGCCCTCTTGTCGTCGAGTGGTGTGTATGACTTCGTTTTGTTCCGCGTTACTCGCAAGTTGACAATTTCGTTCCCCGAATAGAACGTACGGTGATCATAGCTGAATTTAGAAAGAAAGATGCCTCAAAATTCTCAAATACAGGGATAATGATGATCGTACGTTGTATTGGGGGGAAGAAGGCAGGCGATGTTTCTTCTGATGTCGAGACCGTTTTTTCCCCCCTTTTGTTGAGTCTACTCTGCTCTGTGGGGGGAGCAATATCCAGGCTCCTAACCCCAAGCGGTAGAAGGGGGGGAAGGGATACCCCCCAAGACAGCATAGGGGGGAAGGGAGGGGGCTATCTCAGCGGGAGCAATATCATGACCGTACGTTGTATTCCGAATCGGGGGAAGAAGGTAGCAGATGATCGCAGCCTGGCAAAAGGCCGAGCACACTGCCGCTCAGCAGCATATGCCACCACTCTTCATCTCTCGTCAGAACAGGACCTGATATCAAATAGAGCTCTTCACAGAGAACCTGAAACGGTTTCACCTGTTGCACGACAGTTCGCGGCATCCACGCCTCGATCCCCATACCTCGGCTCGATCCCCCCCATACCTCGCCCTCACCCGTGTACAGTATTTGTTGACCCATGTCACTAAGTGAGCTTGAACCCGCGACCTGTGTCTTGAAAGTAGCCTGTTTGTTTGCTGTAGGTAGTGTGGTCGTCGGGTCTTGAACCGTAGGTCTGTAGATTAGAGGTTTTAGCAGTGGTAGGAGTCGTAGCTGCTAGCATTGAAAGATCAAGTAGTAGCTGCTACAGTATTGAAGGGTCAAGTCCACAGTCTTCCGGAAGGGTCCGGAACTGGCGCTTTGTGAGTCTGGATGCAGTCCGTAGACAAGTGGGCAAGTGGGTAGACTAACCCAGCCCAGTCAGCGGTACACGGTCCGGTGGCACCTTGTCAAGTCAGCAAGTACCGTGTGGGACTGTGTGCACCCCGGGCCCGGAGTCCAAAGGCAGACCTTTGATAATCCGAATTATAAATCAAGAGGCAGCGTCAAGTCATGGATTGATTCTGCCTGTGAGCCGTGCGGAGAGCATCTTGTGTACGAAGGTCTGCAGGTGCCCGCTGACGAAGAGGGCTAAGAGGAGGAAGATCGGCCATAGCCGAAAGTTAGTTGGTAGAGGAGAGAGACCGTCAGAGACGGCGGACATAGCCACCACATCAGCAATGTTAGAGTGTTAGAGTGTATGTGTGTGTGTGCTGTGTTGGTGTGTTGGTGTGTGCGGGACATCCAGGGAGATCCAGGGTGCATGTGTACGAACAAGGTTGCGGGGAGTATGGTGTACGGCCATAGCCGTACGAGACAAGTTTGTGTTCTTGGCTACGTTATCTCTGAGCTTTGTGTGGGCGCATGTCACCAGCTTGATAGTCATCTGGGTGTACGCTACAGTACGCATGCTGAGTGTGGAGAAAGACAAGTCTGATTGCAGAACCGCTCTGATATCAAATTCAAAGGAAACCGCAGGCGCGGGGCAGAATGGCTAGTACTACGGGTAGGTGTAAGGCCAACTCAGGTAGGGGCGCATCCTAGGTAGAAAGGCTAAGAAGAATGAGGCGAACGTAGGCAGGGGTGAGTGCACTGAGTGGGGGAATATGCTTCCCAGAGGGAAGTAGTTAATGCCGCCCACTTGGACCTCCCAGCCATGATGGTTAGGAGTGTGTGTGAGTCTCCATTGTATTTTGAATTAGTACTTGCCCGTGGAAAAGGAACCGCACTGCTGCTCTCCCAAATAGAAGAAGCCTTTGTTTTTCCAAAAAGAAAAGAAAGGACAGAAAGAAAGGAAACTGCAGGGCAGTAACTCTCTTCACCAGTATGACAACCAGACCAGTATAATTGGACAATGATCACACCAGCACTAGCACAGAACGTTGATGTCAACTTGATGATGAAAAGCCGTCACGCCCCCCAGAATGTATGGGGCGTGTGTGTTGTGGGTTCAAAAATAGAATAGCCCTCGTCTCAGCCCTTGCCGGTCCCCTGCCAGCAGATATGACCGCCTTCTTACCTGTCCCAAACTACGCATGTGAGCAGACTACAGCGCAGCAGAGTTCTGTGCTGCTCCCGCTGGGTATGAATCCCCCCCGCCGGTGGTAGCTGCAGTCACAACCGCGGCTTGACCATGACTTTATTTTTTTGGATCAATCAATCAAACAATCAAACAATCAATCAATCAATCAATCAGTATGTGTGTGTCAATAACGCAATAAAAAGAAGGAAGAACGTCTTTGGCTTTTTTTTCCTCTTTTATCTTTGCATCTATTGTAAATAAAAGAATCAAAGAAACATGTGCACCATGTTTATCCCACCAGCAATCAGAAAAAAATGAAAAAAAAAAAAATCCCTTTTTTATTACGTTTCTCTTGATTTTTCGTCTGTGTGACCGTTTGAACGCGTTGAACGTGCATTCCCGTTCGAACACCCGCATTCAAATGGTCGTGGGCCGCGTTCAAACGCGCAGCGCGCCATGTGGCGAGAATTCGTTGAACGCGACCCACTCATCCATATGAGCACGTGGCAGACTACGGGTTGGGGGGTTTGATTCATCAAAAAAAAAAAAAAAAAAAAAAAGTGGCAATAAAGACCATTTCGTCAAAATGGACATTTTTTATTTTTTGAACGAAATTGAAACTGAGTTTTTTAGCCGAAAACTCGTCAAAATTTGCTGTTCCTGAGGGTCCAGCGTTTTAAAAACGCTGGACCCCCTGGTGGTACATGGACCT